AGAAAATTATAAATCTTCATTTTTGAAGTAGTAAATTTACAGTTTTACAACACAAATTCCCAAGAAGAAATTCAAGTTTATGTATTCATGGATTTCCCACTAGATTTTCGACTAATATGAATCATTCTTTTCAAGATTGCGAAGCAATATAGGGATATTCTTATAATATAATTATGTTAGAATCACATTTTAAGATATGACACCCACCCCAAACACAAGTTTATAAATCGACACTGACAAAAGGCGGTTATTATTTCTGTGGTGTGCCTTTTCTGTGACACAAACTTTGATTTTGCGTGGTCTTGTCAAATTGTACAGAAGGGTTTTCCTTGTTGAGGGCTAGATTTGCTGTCTGAGTAAATATTTATCAATAGTCTAACATTACAACTTGTTGAAAACCCTCACCTCCAACTGTCATTCCTAATAAATTTTAAAAACGCAACTAAACACAGGAATCCTGTGTATTCAACATAACCAAGAAAATAATCGAATTTCTCAAACAATATTTGTGTGGAATGCATCTAAATATGATATTCTTAGGAAGTCAAGGGAGGGTTTTCTTTAATTGTGTGTCTACTTTAAATCCTGCGTTGAATTCAAGTTAATGCATTTCACCTAGAGTGTCAACATTCATACAAATCAAACTAAAGAATAAGAGCCTGCTTCGGCGATATAGGTGTTTTGTTACAAAATAATACGTGTGAAATACATGGAAAATTGATAACAGGTAAGATAACTGCATCCGGATATCAACATTTATCTCCACGTGTCAAATGCATCTGTCTTCAAGAGTTGTAAAGCAAGTCGAAAGAAACACGTCAGATCTATGAAGTTTTTGTTTTACTCTTTTTTCCGTTTTCTACTAGCGCTCTGGCTGTGGGATAGTCTTGTTAATATGTGAAGTTCTCGATATCTGGTTAAGCACAACTCCTTTATATGAAGTTTTCTTTGCTTGTTTAACATAATATAAAAATAACTTATTTTATTGCCTTTTAACAAAACATTAACTACATGTACATGTAACAATATCTTTCTAAGTAATGGAAAGATTGAAATCACAAATAATGATCGATCTAAAAAAAAATCCATAAAAATAAAAATCTGCGAACAGGGCATAAAACACGGACTACCGAATATTCCAGAGGTTGGACCGAACGCCTAGGAACATCCCCTGTCAGTTAGACGGAATATTCCGTAGTCAAATTTAGTATTTAAAAAAGGCCTAACGGTTGGTATGAAAACAGCCAAAATATGACCAAATGATAGATTATAATTTGCTAACAAGGACATTATAACGACCAGAGAATTTACGAAATGCTGACTTTAAAAGAGGTTGTTGAAATCCTTGTAACATCAACTTATCTGTCAGAGTCTGCCCGGTTTAAAAATTAATCGTATTTAGAGCATGCTTTTGAGTTAGGGGTTGGTCATGTGATCAAATCTCATAAAGCCTGAAGGAATCTTACAACAGAATTATGCACTTAGAAGGATTTAATAGTAATGGTCTCTAGTAGCTATATTTTTATAGCTCATAATTATTCTATACAACGCATTATCTGGTTGGTTCTAAACAGTCACGTGACAGGACATAAAACTTCATATTTCCCTGTCGTCGTCATGCTTTTCATAACGGTCAACCTTTTGGGACATCTTTTCCCACAATATTTATCCTTTGTTGAACGAAAACTTCCAGGCGCAGTAGACGTCGCAATTTACAATAGTAGAAAGGTTTCATCTACCAAGAAATGACGAAATTAGCAAATTGAATTTTCTTTCCAATAAGGATGTTTAAAAAAACAAAAAAATCAGTTGAGATTCTTGGTACTTTAGTAATTTGGTATATTTTAATTTCTTTTGAAATTACTTTTACTGGGACAGGCCCTATCTATCATTTGTCTATCTAAGTTTGTATTTCGTCATCACTTAATTCGAGATCTGTCTCAGCACCGAAAACTGGTGTTCAAGAACAAGAGACTCATGGGCTCCAACGCTCACCTGAGTCAATATGGTCCTGTTGTTCTTATAAGCATATTTTTCTAATATATATTCCTATATGTGTAAGACGTTGATCCCTGTTGTTAACCTCCACCGCCAGGAGTCAGGATTTGGAACAAATCAGAATCTACACTATCTGAGTATGCTTTTATATTCATATGACTAATCATGGCTTTGCCTTTCTTGTGAAGAAGATTTTTAAAGATGCGACCTCACTCCATCCCAGAGGTTACGATTTGAGCAAACTTGAATCTACACTACCTAAAAATACTTCAAATACTTCCAAATCAATATAAATAATTATAGTTTTGCTGTTCTTGAGAAGATTTAAAAGATTTTTTTCCTATATATTCACATGTTAAACTCTGATAGCCCATTGTGGCCCAACCCAACCCCAGTTAAAGTTTGAACAAACTTAAGGAGGTCGACTGGGGTTTTTATTGCGCAATACTTCGCGCAGCATTGTAAAATTAAGCGTATCTACTCTTCTGAAGCATCTATTTTCACATAATTAAGCAAATTAAACAAAATTAAGAAATTACAAGTTAAAAATTTTAATTACATTTTAAACCGATTTTTTAACAATTTTTCAACTGATGAACTGAATGATGTGTTTGTGACGTTATGATAAACTGAAGTTCTTTAAGAGGGTGTCATAAAAATGTTATAAAAATAAAAGAAAAAAATATAAAATTAATTTTCTTTTGCATTTTGAGATGCCCCCTCTTGAAAAATATTTCGCTATCACCTACATATGGTGTTTATGTCTCCCTTTTTCGAACTCAAGAGCATGTTCTGAGTATGACCATTTTTTTTAACAGAGGCAGGCTATTCACACATAAGTTGATGATACAGAGATTTCAACAACCTCTTTTAAAGACAGTATTAATTCTGTTAATTTATGGTCGTTATAATGACCTTATAAGCAAATATAACCCATCACTGGGTCGTACCTGGCTGATTTGTTTCCTACCAATTGTTGGACCTTTGTTTTTATACTTAATTTGACTACGGAATGTTCCGTCTACAATACATAGGGCTCACGGCGGGTATGACCGGTCAACAGGGGGCGCTTACTCCTCCTAGGCACCTGATCCCACCTCTGAAATTTCCAGGGGTCCTGTTGACAGATTTGACAGATTTGTATTGTTTGAAGTTTTTATGAGATCGATTGCTGTTCGTTATCTTCAATCTCTTTCATCGATCACTGTTCTTTTTCTTAACATTTTTCATTCTTTTTTCTTGTTATCAACACTGATATTGATCTAAGGTTTGCATTACAAATCACTTCAATTATTATAAATCCAGTTGAAATACATTTCATTTCTTAAGTGGTTCACTATAATTAAGTAACTTTTACACATGAAATTGAAATTCTTTAACCCTAATGGCATATCATATTTAATATCACAAATATGTCATATTCAATCTTATTTGAAATGGCAGGGTTTTTCTTCATGTGAATGAATTTGCCATAATTGTCTTTCGGGGATACAAAGACTTGGAAATGAAGTTCTGCGCTTCCAGCAAGTTTTTGGTATCGATATTTTGTCCATTAATCACTGTCAATATTGTGGCATCTGTTTAAGTATCTAACTTAGGGTATGAGATAGGGACAGAATTGATCTTAACAGCCCAACCAAACAAAAGTCGGGATCTGCATTCAATGAATTAAATTAACTTCCTGTACATCTCCTCTCTGTAAGAATCACTGCGCCTCTCCGGTAACCTGACAACGTACCAAACAGGATGACGCTACGCATTCAACTGTAGACAACGTAGTCATCTATCACTCTTTTGCATCGTCTTCATCCTCAAGACGACATGAAGACAAAAGAAATGCAAAAGAGTTTGCATATGATTTTTGTAACGAGTCCTTATAAATTGTGCCTACAACTGCCTGGTATCCTGGAGATTTCCGGTGGACTTTTTCTGTGGTATTGATCACGCAAACAAGATATTGCTAGGATTTCTAATAATGTATGATTTCCTGTCATTCAGCGTTTGATAGAAAAACATATATCATACTGAAGAAATTGTCACCGAAGACCCATAAATATCTGATTCGCCTCCTGGGTGTCTATAGAAAATAGAACCCCCCAATAGAACACTTCAAACATCTCACGTGAATTACTTATAATATCAGAGGTTCAAAGAGACAAAATAACTCTCTGTAACCGCAGTTTGATAAACTACATATTTGTTGACCCTTTTATCCTCTTTTAAGGGTTTCAGATATTTCTTTCTTAAGATAATAATTGAAATACCATAGAAGAAAAAAAACACAAAGGGGTTATTCAAAACTCTAGTTTGGTTTCAATAAACAAAATGCTTCTATTTTCTTTGCCATGCTATATGCTTGGAAAAATGGCGACTGCTTTAAACTGGATTTTACTTGAACCTTCCCTTTTTGAATGCATATTGCATATATTAACATACCGATGTTTACTTCTTGATTTTGAAAACGGTATTCGTCACATACTTTCTCAGCCATTTTTGTTTATGTTTAGTTGAGCAAGTAAAATGCAAAATTGATATAAAAATGACATCATGCATTTTTACTAGCCAGTTATTCTCAGAGACAATGATAAATAACAATGGTGTATATATATATATATATATATATATATATATATATATATATATATATATATATGTATATATATATATAGTTTATAGTTTATATAGTTTGTGACAAACATCCTTTGTTATTCTGGACTTAAGACTTAATCCAAAGACAGACATTATCATAGAGTTTTACGGTATTCTGCAATTACAATGGATGATATCCAAAGTCTAACATCAAAACATTCCGATTGCTGAGTAAGCTAGAGTAAAGAAATGAACTTTTAGTATAGTTATGGGGCAATAGACAGAGGTAATTCACTTATCAAGGCACTTACAACTGTACAGCAAAGTTCGGGGGATGCCAGTGGGGTTCTCACACGTGAAGATGGCCTTGACAATCGTGGGAAAACTTTGATAAATCAAAACTAAAAACTTACCTTTTGATTAAAATGTTCTCCAGAAATGCTCCACGTTAATGTTTTTTCCCAGGTGTACACATGTATTGTAACATTCGAACACTTGGAATATTATTTGGATATGGTTTAAACAAACTGCGAGACCATTCGTCACCGAGATCGCCTCCAAACAAAGGTTTTAGAAGTTTATCACAATGCCCCAATGTCTAGTTACGTATCATTTTCCTGCAATTGAAATAAAATCCAAATATTCCAAATTTTAACTTTTTCAAATCCCATGTAAATTAGAAGCAAATAAAAAAATTGTAGAAGATAAAAGTTACTCCAGATATTCTTGGTTAAAAGAAAATGTTATAAAAATTGAGAAATAAGAGTGTTGATTTACGTAACAAAAACCAGAATCAGTGCCTGCCAGGCAGATAGCAAAACAAATGAAGAAATTCCAAAAACCTCCTAACAAAAGAACTTTCATTAACCGTGTCAGTGTGTCTGCATCTAATACAAGACAAAACAGTCATCTGAACACACTAAAGGGAACGTCGAAATATAAAACAAGGAAAAGGTACATATGTCCATAGAACAGAAACGATTGACATGCTGAATCTTCTGCTGAAACCAGGAATTGGTCACTAATTACTCCCAGAGAAGCACAAGAAAGATAAGCATTGTAGATAGTTAGCTTTGGCATGAATCAAAATAACTTTTTGTCAGTGTCGGAATTCGAAATTTTAATATAATTGAGCAATCTTTGGCAAAATAAAGAATTGTATAGGTCTCATCTCTGTGTGTGTGTGTGTGTGTGTGTGTGTGTGTGTGTGTGTTAAAACAGACCCACAGGACTGATATTGTAAGCCACACATTGACTGATTCAAAATAGCTAATCTGTCAATGTTCTTGATTTATGTCTGAGAGAGAGAGAAAAAAAGCTTTTAAAAAATATTGTCTACATTGTCCTATTCAGTGTGAAGAAGGTATCACATTTTCAATGCAGATCGGAACGAGTGATAAAAAAGGAGAAATTAATGGCAAACATCATTAACAGGATCGCCTGCAAATTACTCGCCGATTCATGGGGGCAAGTATCCAGGTTGAATTTGAAGAAGTTTTTACACTGGGAATAGATGAGCTGACATTGCCGGTGCTTGGTGATAAATTAATATTACGAGAGTCGTTTGTCATTTTCTCTCGTTTTCTTATTTCAAGAATTCATCGCCACAAAATCATTTGGTGACCAAAATTCGATAGATACACACGGAATTTTTCTGTACAAGTATCGCTGATAGATTTATTTTTGCTCTCTGAGATCAGCTCTCTGTTCATTGTGTTTTGGATTTTTTGTATCTGTGATGATGTAATGCACCTTCATTGGATTAACAATATCCCAAGGAGATTCCACAGGAATAATTATTTCTTCTATGATGAGTTCATTTTTGTTACCGTGTTTGGAAATGGACAGTTCTTATGGATGATGCAATAGCATTGAAGTTTATTCTTTTGATGTGCTGTTTGTTTAACAAAATCAATTAAGACTGTATTGTCCAGAAAAAATAGTTAGGATATTAGAAAAAACTAAAATAATAAAAGAACCAAACTTTTATGAGTATATGAAAAGGATATAATAATAGGATATAATTTATATTTCAAATAATTAATAAAGATAGTGTGTAACATCTAAATATTTTAATGATATTTTAAATTTTAGAAACATTAAAATCTTGTTTAAATTTTCTTTCTTAGATTCAAACTGTAAATACGCCGTAAAAAACAGTTATTTTTATTAGATTTTCGAAGAGAAATGGGCAGGGTTTTTTTTTTTCAAAAAATTCATATTATCTAAAAGAGGATTTGATGTATCGTCTCGTGTCTACTGTGACATGTATATAAATTTCATATTTCTTTTAAAGTGAAATATAATTGAATTACATGTAAATTTAAACCTTTAAGCAATTTGAGTATTTTTTAATTACAAGTTCACATTGTAATGATCAATTACTGAACTTAGAAATGTATATATATATATATATATATATATATATATATATATATATATATATATATATATATATATATATATATATATATATATATATATATATATATATATATATATATATATATATTATCTTAGGAGTACTCACATATATTTTCATTTTTCATTAATTTTTAGCATAGTCAATAAAACGTTTTTTTTACAGTCCTCAGTATATTTAGAGTTAAACTTTTCTTTCCCTCTATCAATGTTTTTCGAGCATCAATGAGAAGAAATCTAAACAAGCAATTCAATCGAATTATTATTTCAAGCTTGTGTGCCCTTTTCCCTCCCCATGGCCGTATCGTGTCCCCACTAAATAAACTGGATTTGTAACAATAGCGTAGTTGACGAAGGGAATTTGATATATTTATTATAAGCCCAGTTTAGATCGCCTCAAAGAAACAGAAACCAAGAAACCTGACAGCTTAGGGGTCGTGCAAGGGGAAAGGTGTAGGGGCGAGACCTTCCGAATGTCGCGATAGATACCCAAAAATATATCTGATCAGAGGGTGACTGTGTGAACAAGAATAATGGAAAGGTGTCACGAATTATTCCAATTTGTTAAAATCGTGTTAATTTCACCTCTTTTATTTTATTAAGTAGTTTTGTCTGATTTGTTTTCATAATTTCATTCATTGGTTAGGATTAGTTGTGACACGTGACAGCATGATATTTAATTTCAAAAAAAAATTAATTTATCTTCTTTTATAAGAAACATATTTTTTATATAAAAAAAAACTGATAAAAGGAACAAATTTCAGTGTATTTTTTCTCTGTAAAAATATTCCTCCTGTATACACCTGGATGTCCATTTCTGGCTGATTATCAAAAAATATAATTGTTTATTTCTCCCTCTTTCTTTGAAAAAAAAAAATAATAATTGAAACCGGTTATCTTTCAGAATTCGATGTCTGGAAATGGTGTGGTGTATAATACAATATCTTTTCAATTTCTTTGTAAATTATGAATAGTTGTAAAGCAATGTCATTATCACAGTAAATGCATTGTATTAGAAATACACGGAAAACAAAAGAATTGAAAATTTCGATGAAAAAAGTTACTGTATCGTTTTCATCTGAAGTGTTGTTATAACTGTGAAACTCGTCTGGTTTATTCGTTTTCCCGTTACATGCTTTTGCTCATTGCTGACACATTTGCATAACTCCTCCCCGAAAAACAAAACAAAAAAAATGGATGACATGGCATGAATAAAAATTATGAGAATAAATTTGAATATCATCTAAAATGATTAATTATTTCTAAATAATAACAATAATAGTATAATGATAATGAATAGTTGATACATAGGAATAAATAACACACCCCAATTTTATTCATGAAAAAATCCTAATAAATATATTTAAAAGTTTGTGTTTTTAATGAAAAAATTTCGATTTATTTTCTGTCGATTTCCGGAGATTTAATTGATAATCCCCTCCAGCCAAAAACTAAGCAAACCAGCAAAACAAAATCAAACGAGAGAGACAAAATAAATAAACAAAACAAAGCCAGAAAAATTATAGTAATATATACATCTTTGCTTTATTTTTCAACGTGGCTTGTTCATAAAAATTATAAAACCATTCCTAACAAAAATTTACTGAGTATATATACAAACTATTAAATTAGACTTATTCTCTTCATTGATATTAGGGAAAAATAATACAAATTAAGGAAAATTGAACTCAGTGGTATACCCACGCAAACTGATCGATTCTATTTATTTGTTAAAATGTATTTGCATACTGGAATTCCGTACCTCTTCGTTCAAGTATCACCCAAGTTTTTATTCATAATTTATGGCGAAATTCAACAATATGTTTTGAAGAATTTGACATTAATTTAACCCCCAAACAAACAATAAGCATTGAACCCCGACGGACCCCGGCATTGAAATGTTTTTTAGCTCCACTTGATAATGCTGTCAAAGTTTGGGTTCTCCACCCCGCGCGCAAACCCAATACTTGTACGACAGACACAGACACAAAACCAGAAAACCGGAACTGTCAATCATATTCACAAAAACGCTTACAAACCATTCGTTTGTTCTAAGAGCTCCCCTTCTCATTTCTTTATTGTTGTATCGCATAAAAAGGGGCATTTAGACCAAACTTAGATCGGTAAATTTAGGAATGCAGGGAGAGATGCTCATTAAAATTATTTTTTAACAATTTTTTTTTCACAAAACTTACTTTATATTTTACATGTACTACTTAACAAAATTATTTTTAGTTCTGACTGTATTATTTTGGTTGATTCATAATTATTATCTTTTTTTTCAAAATATCTAAAGGTAGTTGATACCAATGATTTGGCTAATCTTGCAGTAAGCAAGAAATGTATCAAATCCCTGATCTGTATATAATGGTGTACGTTTGAATGTATCTACAATGACGTGTAATAATCTCATTCTATCTTAATCTGACTACGCCAAATATTCATATTAGTCTTTGTATCTTTCTTTCAGGCAAGACTGGCTAAAGAATAAAAAAAAACATTTAACCAAGATGAACGATGTACTTTTCGTAAATCAGTATTTTGAATGAAACCATCAAAATAAAGGGGGGAAATGATGACACCTTTTTAGTATATTTTTCTTTAAAATGTCTGAATAATTCGCAGTCACGTGTATTGTCATATGAATTTTACCTGAGTGTAGATTTAATTGTTGAACATGGCAGTGTAATCGATAAGAATCTGTAATAGAATTTTTTTCACTTTTGGACAATATTTCATTCATGGATTGTTAAAATCATAACCTGATTCTACCTTTCATTTTTGAAAAATGTGAGATAGTATTGCCTATAGTTACTGCAATTTATTTCAGTAGCCCAGAGCTCCTCGGTTCTTTGACAAAATGTAAATCGTTCTCGACGGGAAGTCTGTCTACCTAATGTACCTGTCACAAAAACACCATGACAACCCAACTGTTTTAATTTTCCGCCGTGTATCTGTAGGATTCAGCTAAATCCAATGTAACCGTGCGAACTTCTGAGAAATTCGAAACTGTTTTATGGCGTTAATCCTTCGTAACACTCTCCCTTCATAAGTCGACTTCAATCGTGTATATTATTGAAATGGGAAACTCACTTCATTTGGTCATTAGTAGAAGGCAAGTCTTTCTATCTATTATGAGGTTGATTTACGGCGAAGGTTTAAAGTCTATCCGACTACAATCGTGAAATCTTA